ACCTTGAGGGGGAATTACTGACCAATTTTGCACTTTTATAATCATTTGCAAAATTACAACCTGCCAATTAATAAACAAAAATGTTACAATTACCCAAAATTCCCCTCCAGTATTACCAGCTGTCCTATTATTAGTTATTTTATTTATTTTATAGTCAAAGCCATTGTTAGAGTTTCAGCTCCAGACTGATCCCAATAATGGAGACAGTTACTTCACTTGTGTGGTCTTCCCTCAACAAGGAATAGAAACACCTTACGATGCACTTATTATATAAGGATATGATAATACTGATAACTTTATGAGAATTAAGTTTGAGCTGATTCCGACCAAGTTTGGATTTTCTAAAGTTACTCAAAAATCAGACAAAAGTCTCTGTACTATACTATAGGGATTTTTGAAAAATTTCACAATAAGTGACAAGTAGAAAATTTCTGAGTTTTATTACATTTCCTGATGCATATACATGTACTTATGCAGTGTAGAGAGATTGAGCAGATTCCGATCAAGTTTGGATTTTCTATGATTTTTTAAAGTTGCTCGAAAATTGGACAAAAGTCCCTGTACTATAGTACAGGGATTTTTGTAAAATTTCACAAAAATTGACACATAGTAAATTCCTGAATTTTATTACATTTCCTGATGCATATACATGTACTTATGCAGTGTAGAAAGTTTGAGCTGATTCTGATAAAGTTTGGATTTTCTATGATTTTTTAAAGTTGCTTCAAAATTGGACAAAAGTCCCTGTACTATAGTACAATCATTTTTCAAAAATTTCACAAAAAATGACAAGTAGAAAATTCCTCAATTTTATTACATTTCCTGATGCATATACATGTACTTATGCAGTGTAGAAGGATTGAGGAGATTCCGATCAAGTTTGGATTTTTTATGATTTTTTAAAGTTCGTTCAAAAATTGGACAAAACTCCCTGTACTATAGTACAGGGATTTTTCAAAAATTTCACAAAAAATGACAAGCAGAACATTTCTGAGTTTTATTACATTTCCTGATGCATATACATGTACTTATGCAGTGTAGAGAGATTGAGCAGATTCCGATTAAGTTTGGATTTTTTATGATTTTTTAAAGTTGCTCCAAAATTGGACAAAAGTCCCTGTACTATAGTACAGAGATTTTTCAAAAATTTCACAAAAAATGACATGTAAAAAATTCCTCAATTTTATTACATTTTTGAATGCATATACATGTACTTATGCTGTGTAGAAAGATTGAGCTGATTCCGATCACAGTTGGATTTTCTATGATTTTTTTAAAGTTGCTCGAAAATTAGACAAAAGTCCATGTACTATAGTACAGGGATTTTTGTAAAATTTCACAAAAACTGACACATAGTAAATTCCTCAATTTTATTACATTCCCTGATGCTTATACATGTACTTATGCAGTGTAGAAAGATTGAACAGAGTCTGATCACATTTGGATTTTCTATGAATTTTTAAAGTTTGCCTCAAAATCCGACAAAAGTCCCTGTACTATGTACAGGGATTTTTGTAAAATTTCAAAAAAATTGACAAGTAGAAAATTCCTCAATTTTATTACATTTCCTGATGCATATAGATGTACTTATGCTGTGTAGAAGTTTGAACTGATTCCTGTGATTAATTCCAATGAAATGTCTACTGGAGATTTATTCTTGCTACAATTTTGACTCTGGCTGGGACTTAGAATAGTAATGGTTTCCTACTTGGTACACTAATTCTCACTGAAACTTTGAAGAAAGAATACTGGGATCTTTATTCTATAATACTGATCACACCCACCAACCTTTTCAGATCAGCTAGCCCAGTATAATAACAATAACAACAACAAGTGACTACGAGGGCATATACACAATGAATGACAATAAAAATAATAAATAGTTACACAAATAGTCCACTGGTCTAAGAAAATGTAATTTTGACAATGCTTCCATCAGAGACCTTCACGAGTGAGTCGATAATGTCCTCGGTGAACAGAACCGATGATTGAGACGAGATGGGGTGGTCTGAGTGGATGTGAGTTAGAAATGATGTATCAAACGGCTGACCACACATATAGCAGTGTATATTCTAACCAGATGGATGAGCTAATATTCTAATGATCTTCTGTAGGGTACAGGTACCTTTAGGACCATGGTCAAGACTCAAGAGCTTCATCCCAAATCCTAAGCCATGAAATCTCACATGATACCTCACCAATAAGAGTAGTAGTTGGGTGTCCCTTAGCTTTAGATAGGAGTTGATTTCTGTCACGATCAAGTATGGTGTCTTTAGACTTCATAGCAACATAGTATCAGGTTCCTTTAGACACTCATCTAGGGCACTGGACTCAAGACCCAGATGGTGCTCCAGTAATCGGCATTGCTGAACAATGGAGACTCCCAGAGGATCAGTGATGAGACTAGGAGTGAGTATCTGTGCGCTGAGGTTAGTAGATGTATCTTTAGTTAGTAGTTTAGACAGGAATTTCAATTTTCTAATTAGCAGTTTAGCACATGACTGGCAAAAGAGAGCAGCATTGTCTGCTGCGCATGCGCAGATCCCCTGTATAAAGGAATGGGCCAACCTGAAAGCTGCTCGAGCTGAGGAAGTCTTAGTTAATTAGTGGGTGTGGCCAGCATTGTCTGCTGCGCATGCGCAGATCCCCTGTATAAAGAAATAGGCCAACCTGAAAGCTGCTCGAGCCGAGGAGGATCTTCTAGTGACCGGATATTGCGCAATGCATCAAAGGGATTGCTCACTGTGCAAGCCCATGCATGCCCCGGGCAAGCCCATGTCATGCCCTGGGCTTGCCCGTACAGTAGCCTTTCAATTAATTGTGATCTGCGCATGCGCAGATCCCCCTGTATAAAGGAATGGGCCAACCTGAAAGCTGCTCGAGCTGAGGAGGTCTGAGTTAATTGGTAGGTGTGGTTAATGATTGTGGCCCATCCTACATACTATTGAAGATGTCTAGTGTAAGGAGACTTATTTATGTTAACAAATTGACTTTGGCTGGGACTTAAACTATTAAAGGACCTTCTTTCTTGATGTCTTTGGGGGACGGGGGCCGTCTTTTACTATCATTGGGGACTTGTACACAATCCTAGCCTGTCCGAGGCTTCCCTCATCCATTACAAATGTAATTACACTATAGATCAATACTGTATATAATATTGTGTATGTATAACTCATAAGCATGAGTTTTACTGTATTACTGAACATGTACAATTAGGTAAAGTACGGTTTAAAATACAGTACAGTACTGTTTTAAATGCTGTATATTAGTGTTTTTACTGTTCTATTTATAGTGAGATGGACTTTGATGTAGACTAATAAAGTCTTACTCTTTTTCAAGATGATAGATCATCCTTTACCAAGATAGGACAGCTTTTATTCATTATATCTTTTTAATTGTACAACATTACTGTATATACTGAGATATTTAACTATTGTTTAATTACTGTGTGGTGTGTAGACTGTTTTACCTGTATTTTAGTGTAGTATCAAGTTTATTATAACAATAACAGTGACTGTTTAGCTAACTATTAGGTGTGATGATGGCAGTAGTGTCGTTATTATTCAAAGAATGCATTATTAATCAATGCATTAAGGAGATGCATGTGCAGAAGGTTGAGTGGTGTCTACTGTGCATGCGCAGACCTCCTGTGTGAAGGAATGGGCCAACTTACTGTAAGTAACATACCATCTTTACAAAAATGACCAAAAAATAACTCCAAACTTTTATTACATTTTCTGTTACATATTGATGTTTTTATGCTGTGTAGAAAGATTTAGTTGATCCCAATCAAGTTTTGATTTTTTATGATTTTTAAAAGTTGCTCCAAAATCGGACAAAAGTCCCTGTATATAGTACAGGGATTCATGTAAAACTTCGTAAAAATTGACAAATAGAAAATTCTTCAATTTTATAACATTTCCTGATGCATATACATGTACTTATGCAGTGTACAGAGATTGAGCAGATTCCAATCAAGTTTGGATTTTTTATGATTTTGTGAAGTTTCTGAAAAATCGGACAAAAGTCCCTGTACTATAGTACAGGGATTTTTGTAAGTTTTCTCAAAAATTGACAAGTAGAAAATTTCTCAATTTTATTACAATTCCTGATGCAAATAGATGTACTTATGCTGTGTAGAAGTTTGAGCTGATTCCTGTGATTAATTCCATTAAAATGTCTACAGGAGATTTATTCTTGCTACAATCTTGACTCTGGCTGGGACTTAGAAAAGTAATGGTTTCTTATTTGGTACACCAATTCTCACTGAAACTTTGAAGAAAGAATACTGGGATCTCTATTCTATAATACTGGTCACACCCACCAACCTTTTCAGATCAGCTAGCATGCTATGCTCAGAAGGTTGGTGGGTGTGCCAAGTATTGTCTACTGCGCATGCGCAGATCCTCCTGTATTGTCTAATGCGCATGCGCAGATCTCCTGTATAAATGAATGGGCCAACCTGAAAGCTGCTCGAGCTGAGGAGGTCTGAGTTGATTGGTGGGCGTGGTTAAGGATAATGGCCAATTTACACAGTGCAAATCAAGGAGACTTATTGTCCGGATTATGGCTGAGACTTAAAATATCAAATGACTGTCTTTCAGACTCTTTCTTAATGTCTTTGGGCGACGGGACGTCTTTCACTATCATTGGGGACTTGTACTCAATCCTGGCCTGTCCGAGGCTTACCTTATCCATTACAACTGTTGTTACCGAGTTAAATACACTATAGATCAATACTGTATTGTGTATGTATAACTACTGTATAAGCTTATGAGTTTTACTGTATTACTGAACTTGTACAATTAGGTAAAGTACAGTTTAACTGCTGTATATTAGGGTTGTTACTGTTCTATTTTTAGTGAGATGGACTCTGATGTACACTAATGAAGTCTTACTCCTTCTCAAGGTGATGGATCATCTTTTACCAAGATAGGACAGCTTATATTCATTATATCTTTTTAATTGTACAACATTACTGTATATACTGAGATATTTAGCTGTTGTTTAATTACTGTGTGGTGTGTAAACTGATTTACCTGTATTTTAGTGTAGTATCAAGTTTATTATAACAATAACAATGACTATTTAGCTAACTATTAGGTGTGATGATGGCAGTAATGTTGTTATTACTCAAAAAATGTATGATTAATAAATGCATTAAGGAGATTGTGCAATACTTCTGTGCCTGTGCAGAAGGTTGAGTGGTGTCTACTGCGCATGCGCAGGCCTCTTGTGTAAAGGAATGGGCCAACTTACTGTAAGTAACATACCATCTTTACAAAAATGGCCAAAAAATCATTCCAAATTTTTATTACATTTTCTGATACATATTGATGTCCTTATGCTGTGTAGAAAGATTCAGTTGATTTCAATCAAGTTTGGATTTTCTATAATTTTTTAAAGTTGCTCAAATATTGGACAAAAGTCCCTGTACTATAGTACAGGGATTTTTGTAAAATTTCACAAAAAATGACAAGTAGAAAATTCCTCAGTTTTATTACAATTCCTGATGCATATACATGTACTTATGCAGTGTAGGGAAGTTGAACTGATTCCAATCAGGGTTGGATTTTTTATGATTTTTAAAAGCTGCTCCAGAATCGGGCAAAAGTCCCTGTACTATAAGTACATGGATTTTTGGAAAATTTCAATAAAATTGACAAGTGAAAAATTCCTGAATGTTATTACATTTTTCAATGCATATACATGTACTTATGCTGTGTAGGGAAATTGAGGTGATTCCGATCAAGTTTGGGTTTTTTATAATTTTCTATAGCTGCTTCAAAATCAGGCAAAAGTCCCTGTACTATAGTACTGGGATTTTTGGAAAATTTCAATAAAATTGACAAGTGAAAAATGCCCCAGTTTTATTACATTTTCTGATGCATATACTTGTACTTACGTTGTCTAATGAAGTTGAGCTGATTCCGATCAAGTTTGGATTTTTTATGATTTTTTAAAAGATGCTGTATATTTGTACCATGTTTGAACTGATTGTTAGTGGGTGTTCCCGGTATTGTCTACTGCGCATGCGCAGATTCCCCTGTATAAATGAATGGGCCAACCTGAAAGCTGCTCGAGCTGAGGAGGTTAGAGTTAATTGGTAGGTGTGGTTAATTATTATGGCCCATCCTACATTGTAGTGAAGATGTGTGGCTTATTCTTGTTAACAAATTGACTCTGGCTGGGACTTAAAGTATTAAAGGACCTTCTATCTCGATGTCTTTGGGCGACGGGACATCTTTCACTATCATTGGGGACTTGTTGTACTCAATCCTGGCCTGTCCGAGGCTTACCTTATCCATTACAACTGTAGTTACCGAGGTAAATACGCTATAGATCAATACTGTATTGTGTATGTATAACTACTGTATAAACTTATAAGTTTTACAGTATTACTAAACGTGTACAATTAGGTAAAGTACGGTTTAAAATACCGTACAATACTGTTTTAACTGCTGTATATTAGTGTTTTTACTGTTCTACTTATAGTGAGATGGACTTTGATGTACACTAATGAAGTCTTACTCCTTCTCAAGGAGATGGATCATGTTTTACCAAGATAGGACAGATTATTTTCATTATATCTTTTTAATTGTACAACATTACTGTATAATAGTTATACTGAGATATTTAGCTGTTGTTTAATTAGTAATTAAATTGTGGTGTGTAAACTGTTCCCGGTATTTTCTACTGCGCATGCGCAGATCTCCCTGTATAAGTGAATGGGCCAACCTGAAAGCTGCTCGAGCTGAGGAGGTCTGAGTTAATTGGTAGGTGTGGTTAATGATTATGGCCCATCCTACATTGTAGTGAAGATGTGTGGCTAATTCTTGTTAACAAATTGACTCTGGCTGGGACTTAAAGTATTAAAGGACCTTCTTTCTCGATATTTTTGGGCGACGGGCCGTCTTTCACTATCATTGGGGACTTGTTGTACTCAATCCTGGCCTGTCCGAGGCTCACCTTATCCATTACAACTGTAGTTACCGAGGTAAATACGCTATAGATCAATACTGTATTGTGTATGTATCACTACTGTATAAGCTTATGAGTTTTACTGTATTACTGAACGTGTACAATGAGGTAAAGTACGGTTTAAAATACAGTACAATACTGTTTTAACTGCTGTATATTAGTGTTTTTACTGTTCTGTTTATAGTGAGATGGACTTTGATGTACACTAATGAAGTCTTACTCCTTCTCAAGGAGATGGATCATCTTTTACCAAGATAGGACAGCTTATATTCATTATATCTTTTTAATTGTACAACATTACAGTATAATAATTATACTGAGATATTTAGCTGTTTTTAATTAGTAATTACTGTGTGGTGTGTAAACTGTTCCCGGTATTTTCTACTGCGCATGCGCAGATCTCCCTGCATAAATGAATGGGCCAACCTGAAAGCTGCTCGAGCTGAGGAGGTCTGAGTTAATTGGTAGGTGTGGTTAATGATTATGGCCCATCCTACATTGTAGTGAAGATGTGTGGCTTATTCTTGGTAACAAATTGACTCTGGCTGGGACTTAAAGTATTAAAGGACCTTCTTTCTCGATATTTTTGGGCGACGGGCCGTCTTTCACTATCATTGGGGACTTGTTGTACTCAATCCTGGCCTGTCCGAGGCTTACCTTATCCATTACAACTGTAGTTACCTAGGTAAATACACTATAGATCAATACTGCATTGTGTATGTATAACTACTGCATAAGCTTATGAGTTTTACTGTATTACTGAACGTGTACAATTAGGTAAAGTACGGTTTAAAATACAGTACAATACTGTTTTAAGTGCTGTATATTAGTGTTTTTACTGTTCTATTTATAGTGACATGGTTTTTGATGTACACTAATGAAGTCTTACTCCTTCTCTAGGTGATGGATCATCTTTTACCAAGATAGGACAGCTTATATTCATTATACCTTTTTAATTGTACAACATTACTGTATATACTGAGATATTTAACTGTTGTTTAATTACTGTGTAGTGTGTAGACTGTTTTACCTGTATTTTAGTGTAGTATCAAGTTTATTATAACGTGACTATTTAGCTAACTATTAGGTGTGATGATGGCAGTAGTGTCGTTATTACTGAAAACAATGTATTAATTAAGGAGATATGCGCAATACTTTTGTGCATCCGCAGAAAGTTGAGTGGTGTCTACTGCACTTGCGCAGACCTCCTGTGTAAAGGAATGGGCCAACTTACTGTAAGTAACATATCATCTTTACAAAAATGGCCAAAAAATCACTCCAAATTTTTATTACATTTTCTGATACATATTGATGTCCTTAAGCTGTATAGGGAAGTTGAGCTGATTCCGATCAAGTTTGGATTTTTTATGATTTTTTATAGTTGCTCCAGAATCGGACAAAAGTCCCTGTACTATAGTACAGTCATTTTAAAAAAATTTCAAAAAAATTGACAAGTGAAAAATTCCTGAATGTTATTACATTTTCTGATGCATATACATGTACTTATGTAGTGTACAGAAGTGGAGCTGATTCCCATTAAGTTTGGATTTTTCATGATTTTTTTAAAGATGCTGTATATTTGTACCATGTTTGAACTGATTGTTAGTGGGTGTTCCCGGTATTGTCTACTGCGCATGCGCAGATCCTCCTGTATAAATGAATGGGCCAACCTGAAAGCTGCTCGAGCTGAGGAGGTCTGAGTTAATTGGTAGGTGTGGTTAATGATTATGGCCCATCCTACATTGTAGTGAAGATGTCTGGCTTATTTTTGTTAACAAATTGACTCTGGCTGGGACTTAAAATATTAAAGGATTTTTTTCTTGATGTCTTTGGGCGACGGGACATCTTTCACTATCATTGGGGAGTTGTACTCAATCCTGGCCTGTCCGAGGCTTACCTTATCCATTACAACTGTAGTTACCGAGGTAAATACACCATAGATCAATACTGTATTGTGTATGTATAACTACTGTATAAGCTTGTGAGTTTTACTGTATTACTGAACGTGTACAATTAGGTAAAGTACTGTTTAAAATACAGTACAATGCTGTTTTAACTGCTGTATATTAGTGTTTTTACTGTTCTATTTATAGTGAGATGGACTTTGATGTACACTAATGAAGTCTTACTCCTTCTCAAGGAGATAGATCATCTTTTACCAAGATAGGACAGCTTATATTCATTATATCTTTTCAATTGTACAACATTTCTGTATAATAATTGTACTGAGATATTTAGCTGTTGTTTAATTAGTAATTACTGTGTGGTGTGTAAACTTTTCCCGGTATTTTTTACTGCGCATGCGCAGATCCCCCTGTATAAATGAATGGCCAACCTGAAAACTGCTGGAGCTGAGGAGGTCTGAGTTGATTAGTGGGCGTGGTTAAGGGTGTTCCCGATATTTTTACTGCGCATGCGCAGATCCCCCTGTATAAATGAATGGGCCATCCTGAAAGCTGCTCGAGCTGAGGAGGTCTGAGTTGATTGGTGGGCGTGGTTAAGGATAATGGCCAATTTACACAGTGCGAATCAAGGAATATCAATGGACTGTCTTTCCTAATGTCTTTGAGTGGCTGTCCATCTTTCACCATCAATGGGGACTTCTTGTACTCAATCCTGGCCTGTCTAAGGCTCACCTAATTGATTACAACTGTAATTACACCTGTAGATTAATGCTGTATACTACTGTATGAGCTTTGTGATGATTATTATAATCCATAATTAGCTGTATATCAATAATAAAGTATTTTTACTGTTTCATTTTTAGTGCAATGAACTTGGATGTAAAATAATAAAGTCTTATTCTTTCTTTGGTGATGGGCATCTTTTATCAAGATGTACTGCTTATACTGTATCTAATACATCAAAAATTCCAATTTTACTATAATGTATAAATATTTAGCAGTTGTTTATTTGTTACTGTGTAATTTTTGTTTTAATAATAATGATCTTTCAACTAGTAAGAGTGAAGCACTGGAGTAAGCAGTAGCATTGCTCTGACACCAGGTCCACTTCTTTCTTTGTTGGTCATGAGCAAATAAAAAAAATTAGAAAATAAACAATAAAAAGTAAGAAAATAGTCCAAAAATATTGCCACACTCTCAGAAGAAATCAGAAGAAATTCCAAAATAAAAGTAATCTGAAAATATCCCCATGCTGTCTAAACAAATCAAAAAAAATTTAAAAAATAAAAATAAAATAATTTGAAAAAATTTCCAAGCTCTTAAAAAAATCAAAAAAAATTCCAAGAATAAGAAATAATGATTCGAAGGCACTCCCAAGCTATCGGCAAAAAAAAAAAATTCTGGCAGCATCGGAAAAAATTCTAAAAATCAGAAATAATCAGAAGGCGCTCCCAAGCTATCGGCAAAAAAAATAATAAAATTAAAAAAAAAAAATTCTGGAGGCGTTGGAAAATTCAGAAAAAAATTAAAAAATTAGATATAATAATCCGAAGGCGCTCCCAAACTATTGGCAAAAAAAAAAATAAAATAGAAAAAATATTAAAAAAATAAAAAAACTTCTGGTGGCGTCGGCAAAAATCAGAAAAAAATCTAAAAATCACAAATAATAATCCAAAGACGCTCCCAAGCTATCGGCAAAAAAAAAAAATTGCAGCGGCATCGGAAAAAATTCTAAAAATAAGAAATAATAATCCGAAGGTGCTCCTAAGCTATCAGCAAAAGAAATTTAAATGAAATAAAAAAATAAAAAAAATTCCGGCAGCGTCGGAAAAAGTTGGAATAAATTGTAAAAATCAGAAAAAATAATCTGAAGATGCTCCCAAACTATCAGCAAAAAAAAATAATAAAATAGAAAAAAAAAATTCCGGCGGCATCGAAAAAAATTTGAAAAAATTCTAAAAGGCAGAAATAATAATCTGAAGGCGATCCCAAACTATCGGCAAAAAAATGATAAAATAGAAAGAATATTTAAAAAATAAAAATCTTTTGGTGGCGTCGGAAAAAATCAGAAAAAAATCTAAAAATCAGAAATAATAATCCGAAGGCGCTCCCAAGCTTTCGGCAAAAAAAAAAGAAAATTCCGGCGGCGTCGGAAATAATCGGAAAAAATTGGAAAAAATTCTAAAAATCAGAAATAATTATCCAAA